ATGTTTATGGAAAACTCAGTTTGTGTACTACTCTTCTGAGTGTTGGGGATTTATTGGTGTATAAAACAGACCCCCACCTCCCCAAAATCTTGTTATTTGCTTCCATGTGGGAGTTCTCTGTAGCAGTTTGTGAGCAGCCACTGCCCAAAGCCCCTATGCACATCCCTGGCTTCTGCAGCTGCTGCAGCCTCTCCTGCGTGACTCCTTGGACCTCTCCTGACCTTGTGGCTAAAGGGTAAACGTCTGGCCTATGAGGGGCCTGGCCTCCGGGACCTGCTTCAGTGCTGCGGCCAGTGCACTTTCAGGATCTCTGGTTAACTATTTTGAATATTATTCCGACTTTTTTTCTCTCTCTGGTTTTGAACCATTTGAGAAATAAGAAAAAGAATAAGGTGTTTAGATTATTCTAGAGGAAATTATAGATGAATTATTTACAGATTCTATTGTCATAAGATTTCATCTCTACTTATAGATGAATTCTAGATGAAAGCTGGCTGAGGGACAGAGCTGTGTTGGAGAGATTTCTGAACCCGTCACTGCAGTCTGGGAACAGGACAGGCTGCACCCACAGCCTCCCGTCCCACCCTTCCCACTGTAGGGACAGGGCCTGCTCCTGGGGAACAGAATGGGACTTGTGCCCTGTGAGAGCAGCAGGACTTTGGCAAGGGTGGGGTGTGTAAGACACTCACCTTCAGGTCCAGAATTTAAGGGGTGCCAAAAAACTCACTGATGGGCCGGCCCGCTGGCGCACTCGGTAGAGTGTGGCACTTTGGAGCGTGGCGGCGCTCCCACCGAGGGTTCGGATCCCATATAGAGACCGGTCCGCTCACTGGTTGAGCGCGGTGCGGGCGCGACACCGAGGGTTGCGATCCCGTTGGGTTGGATGGGCGTGACACCGATGGTCGCGATCCCGTTACCGGTCACGAAAAAAAAGACAAAAAAGGAAAAAAAAAAAAAAAACTCACTGATGAAGATTATTTTAAATGCATTATTTATAAAAACCAGAATCAATGCAAAAAATTCATGATGACCAGAATATCAAAAATTTAAACACAGGGTCAGTATTTCAGGCTTTCCCTTTGCCTCAGGCTCCAGCATGGCTCCACTGGGCACTGTTTCTGATCCTGTGTCAAATTTAGTGCCCCAGGTGAGAACCTCCCTCACCTTACCCTAGTCCTGGCCCTGGTGGGCAGCGTCTTCCCCAAGCAGAAAAAGGAAGATGCTGGGCCATTCTGAGCTTATGCAGCTACTTCTTCCTAAATGTACAAAGTCCATTAAGTCACTTTTCCTGTTTGGAGCAAGTAAAAGGACAGAGAAAGGGCAGGAGTGTCATGCTAATTAAGCTCCCTTCACAGGGCAGTGGGTCAGAAGCAACCCTCTCCATGGGGAAACATTTCCATTTATTTTCTATAAGGGGAGAAGCGTTAGCTGTCTGAGAGGAAAGTTCAAAAGCATGAATGAAGTGATCAATGCTAAGGAAAATCTATTTCTAGTCAGACTAAGAAATTGTACAGTAGGATGGGAAGGCAGTCAGCCCTGATAGCCGATGACTGTTTTGATCTGGGTGGCTGGACAGGTGTCCCTGTCTCAAAGCTCTGCTACATCCTTGCTACTCCAAGGTGGTGCATGAACCAGAAACATCTGTATTACCAGGGAAAAGAGAAAAACTGGAAACAAGTTAAACATCAAATGGGATGGGACTGGTGGTATAATTTATTCTACTAGACATCTATTTAAAAATAACTTGAAATGCTTTGACATGAACCATTTATTCAGTTTGTACCAGGTTTGTTTGCTTTTTTAATCATCTTTTATGTATTTTGGAAGAGGGAGCTCAGGTGATTAAAAATTCCATTAATCGAATCTAATGACTCTGTTTATCAAGATGAATAACTTTTATCTTTTATGCTTAATACCGTGTTTGCAGTGCTCTTTGCTCATGTTTGTGATACCAGAATCTTTTAAATGAGTTTTGACCTTCATGGAAGCACAAATGTATACACATTTAGTGCTTTTGGAAATAATATCCCACACACATAAGTCTAAAAATGAATAAATGTACTTCTTGATTTAAACATTTAGCCTGAGCATATTTTGTACCAGAGGATTAAAAATGTTGATTTGCATTTCATAAAAGCTTTCATTATGATTCTAGCCAGTAAGTTATTGCTTCAGTGATCCTTTTAATCAAAGAGCTGTGTGGTGAAAAGAGTTGACTGGTTTGTACTTTCCATCAGTATGAATCATGCAGCCGTTATTTTAGGATTCAGAATCTTTCTGAGTGTGTGTGCACGTGCGTGTGTGCTGTTGAGATAAACATTGCGCCTTTCTTTACTCCGTTGAAGGCTGGTTTCAGGATGCACGACCAGAAACCCACAGAGTGCTCTTAGTGAAGCTCCTGCTCCTCTCAGCTCTTCCATAGTTCCTGTTCTCCTTGTTTTATTCAGGTCACTGAGGTTTGAGTACAGAGAAAAGATTGCAAAATAGGAAAATGAGATCTGCTCCTAATTCAGAAGTTTATGGGTCACACACGGAAACATTTTTTTTTTTCCCTCAAGGATATTTGATTTCTTCAGTAGCACTATGACGTCTATCTGAACGTTGAATACTAGGAATAAAAAGTCAGTTCAAGTGAATGTATGACTTATCCTGTAGTCCTAGCTGGAACATTTGGACCTTTCTTACGCACTTCCATTTGATCAAAAGCCTAAGAAAATTTTAGTTATTTGCCAAAATCCTTAGGTTTGAAAGCTTTTATGGATGTTTCTAAAGGTTTTCTTTTTAAACATACAATTCAATAGTTTTCAGTATATTTACAGCATTGTGCAGCCATCACCATAATCTAATTTTAGAACATTTTATTATCCCCCAAAGAAACATCCATTTCAATTAGCAGCTGCTCTCTACTCCCTTCCCTTCTACCTTTTCCCAGCCCTAAAGAACCACTAATCTACTTTCTGTCTCTATAAATTTGCCTCTTCTGGACGTTCCATGTAAATAGGCTCATATAATATATAGTCTTTTTCGACTGGCTTTTTTCACTTAGTATAACATCTTCAAGTTGTAACACTATATTCCTGTTGTATCATGTATAAATATTGCATTTCTTTGTATTGCCAAAGAATATTTCATTGTATGCATATACAATATTTTGTTATCCATTCACCAGCTGATGGACATTTGGGTTGTTTTACTTCTTGGCTATTATGAATAATGCTTCTGTTAAGAATCGTGTACATTTGTATACAAGTTTTTGTGTGGACACTTGTTTTCATTTCTCTTTAGTAAATACTTAGGAGTAGAATTGCTGAGTCATATGGTATCTTAATCTGCTCAGGCTGCCATAAAATATCATAGACTGGGTGACTTAAACAATAGAAATTTATTTTCTTACACTGGGAAATCCAGGATCAAGGTTCTGTCAGGGTTCAGTCTCTGGTGAGGGCTCGCTTCCTAGCTTGCAGACAGCTGCCTTCTTGCTGTGTCCTAAATTGGTAGAAAGAGAGAGACAGAGATTGGCGGGGGAGGGGGATCTTGTGTCTCTTCCCCTTCTTCTAAGGGTACCAGTTCTATCTGGTGAGCCCTCCACTCTCATAACTTCACTTCACCTTAATCACCTCCTTAAAAGCCCTATCTCCAATATGCAGTTATATATGGGGGTTTAGGGTTTCAACATATGAATTTTGGGAGGGGACACAATTTAGTTCATAGCATATGATAATTTACACTATTTAACATTTTAAGGAACTTCCACCAGAGTACCACTTTAACTTCTAAAAAAACCAACTTTAGTTATTACTTCAATTTGGAAATAGCTTATGTTTAAGATAGGAATAAAAACAGGGGAAGGAGAAATGCTAAATCCCTACATCTACATTGATCTTTAACTCATTTGCTGGGCCTCCGCATTCTGTCTAGTACAGTAGAACCTGCTTATCCATGGTTTCACTTTCCGTAGTTTTAGTTGCCTGTGGTGGTCCAAAAATAATAAATGGAAAATTTCAGAGATAAATCATTTATAAGTTTTAAATTGTGCACCATTCTGAGTGGCATGATGAAATCTTGCACGATCCTTCTTTGTCCCACCCTGGACGTGTACCATCCCTGTGTCCACACTGTGTGCTCCTTGCCCATTAGTCACTTAGTAGCCATGTCAGTTATCAGCTAGTCTGTAGTGGTATCGTGCTTGTGTTCAAGTAACCCTCATTTTACTTAATTGTTCTATTTCATTATTAGTTATTGTTAATCTCTTACTGTGCCTAATTTATAAATTAAACTTTATCAAAGGTATGTATGTATGGGGAAAAAACCACAGTGTTTATAGGGTTTTCTACCATCTGTGGTTTCAGGTACCCACTGGGGGTCTTGGGTCATATCTCTGATGGATAAGGCGGGGCTGCTGTGGTCAGTTTTTATGGAAACAATAGAGTGCCCTTCTGAGAATAAAAGGGACAGTGTTGCTGACTACGCTGGTACAACAGACGTAAGTTGGGACTGTCTTAGGCAAATTAGGGTGAATGGTCACTCTGTCAACCAACAGGAAGTAAAAACTATTGCCAGATTTAGCTTTCTTCTCTCTTATGACAAGTAAGAGTCCCTGGGAGTAGGGAGGAGGCATGTCAATTGTGAAGTCAGTCATAGGGACAACTTTCATAGTGTCTCCATCTTCCATTCTGTCCCAATCCCTCAAAGTATTTTTGAAAGGGGGTGGTAGATTACCTTGATATCTTAATTACCCACATCAGTAGTTGTGGGTTCTAAATGTGAAAATAAAGTGATTGAAATGAATCAAGGGGTGACCTGTTAATTTTTGTAATATTTGCTTGAGTTAAACATTTTATTTCTTTCAGGGAACAACAAATTATTTCATCTTCAAAGCATCTTAGACTAAAACACTTCCAACTGTGTTGAAAAACTTAGAAGGTGACAATTTTTCCTTTCCTTTCATTTGAAAGGAATTGAAGAAATAAAGTGGCAGAGGTTTAAAGTTAATCTTCAAGATGAATGATAATTCAGATGAAAAGACAAAAGATGAGTTGCAATCCTTATTTATCCACGATAAACATGGAGATACATATGTGTTCAACGAGAAATCACCACCTACACAAAACTCTTCATCTGGTAGTGTGAATTGGGATTCTGCCAACCAAGATGACATGGTGGTTGATTATGAAGTTGACCCTGCTGTGGACAGTGGTAAAAGTATTTCTTTAAACCATCAGTGTGTTGAAGTACTTGATCACCAAAAGTCTTCAAGTGATTTCATTGGTAAGCGAGTGTTAGATATGCATAAATATTCCACTGGTCAGTCTTCTGCACTTGTTGTAAATACAGAAAAGCCCAAGTATCTGCATAACAATTGCCATTCCCTAGAAGCAGTTGAAGACCAGCGTGTTGATCCATCTCTGCCTTTTGTGTGGAAGCCTGATGAGGATTTGAACCCTACAGACTACCCTACTGCCTTGGAGCTAAACAAAACATTTGACGTGAAAGATAAAGTTAACTGCACCTTTATAATACATTATGCCGTTGAAAAGAGTCAGTCTTTGCATACCACTGGAAGTCTGCAGCCATCTGTTATAAGTGAAAATACATCTTCTTTATCCTGTTCTGCTTGGACATCTTCCCATTCTGACAAGATGCATACGAAGGGAACTAGTTGTGAAAGAGAAAGATTCGAAAACCCTCAAGCCACAACATCAGAGGCCCGAGACACAACTTACACAGTATTTTCTGATGTGGTGATGCAAACTGACGTTTTTGTTCCAGATATTGGAAATCAGTGTCAATATTCTTCAGGAAAGGTTGCCAGTGAGCACACAGATGGATCACAGCAAAGGCTAGTTGGAGAAAAAGAGATACAAGCTCTAACACCAGTTTCTGATGGCATGGAAGTCCCCAATGGCTCTGTATTACAAGAGTTCTTTTGTTTATCTAAAGATGAACCAAATAGTGAGACACATTCACAGAGCTTATATGGGCAAAAGGAAATAGGCCAAAATCTAAGAGAAACAGTATCCAGTTTTAATGAAGATGAATGCTCTTTACTGGTGCCAACTTTTAATAAAAATAAAGCCCAAGTGCTGAACCTGGAGCATAAAGTCACTGTGACTGAAGACACACAAATTGCCTCCAGTGAAAAGGATTTGGGAACCAAAAGTCATACCGTAGAACTGATGCTAAGTAGCCTGCCAGCACAAAAGGTGGCTTCTTCATTTGAACAGACTTGGGATGCAAGTGATATGGCCAGTAGCACAAATAGCAGGGTTTGCATACCAGTCCTGGAACCCACAAATGTCACTTTTTCTATTTCACCTGTTGAAGCGATGAAGAAATGTAATAAAGTAGAGAAGAATTATCGAGAACTTAAAATTTTACCAAACTTGAAAGGGGCATTTATGAACATGTCTAAACCTAGTCTAGGAAAATCAACAACCAAAACGAATACCTCTATCGGTAGCAAAGTTAGAAAAACTGAAATTATAAGTTATCCAAGACCAAACTTCAAGAATGTCAAGGCAAAAGTTATGTCTAGACCAGTATCGCAGTCCAAAGACCCTGCTCTGTCAAAGGTCACACCCAAACCTCAGTTGTCCAGTGCCTTACCGCCCTCGTCAGTGTCTTCCTCAAGACAGTTGACAGTTTTGAGCAAAACACCAAGATCTGACTTGAATGCAGACACAAAAACAGAAATCCTAATTAACAAGACGCATAAGCAGCAATTTACTAAACTCATTACTGGCCAGGCTGTGCATGTTCCAACTCATTCTAAAAATGCTTCACACAAGGTTCCAAGAACAACATCTGCCATGAAATCAAATCAGGAAGATCTTGACAAAGCAGGTCCTTCTAACGCAGCATGTGAGACTGGGTCCGTAGCTACGTTTTTGCAGAAGATCAAAGGCGTACTCCCTGGTAAAATGGAAAGTGCAGAGTGTTTGGAAATGACATATGTTTCCAACATTGATAGGGTTAGCCCTGAAAAGGAGGGTGAGAAAGAAAACGGGACGCTAATGGAAAAACAAGAGCTAGCAAAGGAAATTTTGAATGAGACTTTTGAATATGGTTCTCTGTTTTCGGTAAGTGAAATTTTTTGTGTGCTTCAGGGAATGGTGGAGAAAACATAGATGTATTAGCAATTATTTATCCATCGAGGGTCAATAATATTGCAGAGCTAGGTGTGCAAATTTGCCTTCAGGTGTTAATTCTTTGTCTTATCAGTCAGTACATACTAGAGTGTTAATAGGTCACAATGTAACAAGGCTGCGTATTGAAAATAATCCTCAATTTCAGTATTTTGTATCAAGTATCAATGTTCCTCTTAATAGCATGCTAAAAGAACAAGTTACTTTAATTTTTTAGTATGATTAGTTAATTGAAGTTAAATACCTGATATAATCAAGTTAAATATTATTTTTCTGGGGGAAAAAAAGGTTTGTTTATAAACTTTAAGAAATCGCTAGGGAGTGCTGGTAAACACAGAGTCATAAAAATAACTCCTGTTCTCTTGTTGTTGAGGAAGCAGCTCAGGACATAGATCCCTCTCCTGTGAACAGGAGTTTTCTTAATTCTGCCTCTGACTAGCTAGTGTGACTTTGGGCAAGTAATTTTTTGAGACCTAAAGGTGAGAGGATTAGACTAGTGGATGTCTAAGGTGTCTTGCAGCCCTAGCGTATTGATTCCTGGTGCACGAAATAAATAAAGTTTGCTTTATTCATGTGTAGTGAAAAAGCAGTATGTTTTCCATAGCACCTGTCAGATATCTGGGGGAGACTAGATAGTTCCATTTAAAAAACAATTCATATGCAGTTCAAAGATTTTTTTTAAACAGGTATATATTTTTGACAATAGCATGAAGAAACTAGCCTTTAAAAACGTCCCAGCGGCCACTGCTGGGTGTTGTGTACTTGTCCTCAGCCCTATTTTCGGCAGTGTCCTTGGGTGCCTCCTCTAGCCAGGAATGGAGTGAGATGCCAGGGGAGAGAGGCAGATGAGACACAGACAGCCTGTCCCTTGGAGGGCTCATGTCTAAGAGAAATGAAACACAATGTGATCAAGTGCTAAAAGGATGTTTTAGAAGTGTTTTCAGGGTGTAGTGGAAGCCACAAAGGAGAGAATTTTCAGGTCCTTTTAGGAGATAGGGTTAGGAAAGACTGAAGATATTCTTGAGCTGGGTTACTGTAGAGGTACTTTGGCTTTAACAATAAACCTGCTCTGTTGGGAAGAATGGTACACCACAGTGATTTCTAAACTAATTATTTATTATTATTATTTTTTAAGTAAAGATGACTGTTAAGGAGATCTTAACCCTTGACTTGGTGTTGTCAGCACCACACTCTCCCAAGTGAGCTGACTGGCCATCCCTATATAGGGATCCGAACCCGTGGCCTTGGTGTTATCAGCACCACACTCTCCCAAGTGAGCCATGGGCCAGCCCTTAAACTAATTAGTTTTTCCATCATTTTAAAACTCAGATTTTGTTTTCAAGTTCTCTTGAAGTCAAACTTAGATAACTCATTTATTTCATTTATAATTTTAATGTTTTGCAGAATTAAGTCACAATTAACCTCAATTCTAATCAACATTCTTAGTTTGGTGTTTACATATATAGAAACAAGATATTTTTTCTCCTTTGATTTATGGGAGACTTTTATTGTGTGTCAGTCCTCAACTACCAGAAGACCTAGCATAAAGTTCCTTTAAATTACATTGGTCTTGAATATAAATTGGTTGCATAATTTTGAAACCAGGAGTTTTTCTGATTTGTGCATTCAGTCTTAGTCTTACGTTTCCTTAGTCTTATATTTCCATGAAAGCCTGTTTCTCAAGCTCATGATGTGGTATTGAAGTAGGTAATAGAATCATCAGGTTGAAATGGATCCCAGCACATCTGGGAGCAGAAGCACTTTCCACCTTATGAATCTTGCCGTTAGGATTCACCATGAGATATGAAGTGTACTGTACTTCCTGAAGGACTATCCCATATTCTCAGCACTGGCACTTTCATTTATCCGCTGGGGTAAAGACCTCATTCTTTTTCCATTGTCCTGTCTTAAGCACAGTGCCCTCTAATTTTGCTAGTGCACCTCTTAGACATTTCCACATGTTTCAGGGAAGGAGGGTGGAGAGAAGGGGCTGGACAAACCATCATAGTGATGGCTTTGCACTTACTGTAGAGAGCTGAATGAATGGACATTTGCTGCACGTTTCACTCAAGCTCCAATGTTTGGTGGTCACTTCAGCAGTACCCCGAAGCTCCCACTGCCGTGGATCTATGATGAGACTGTCCTGGAGGGATGCTAATCTTCACTGTGCTCTGTTGGTCTTGGGCTAAATTTGGCCTTGAGTTTACTGAATCCTTAGGTTGCCTCCAACTTCACAGCTATTTGGTGGTCAAGGTTTGTTTGAAACTTCAGAAAGATTCCTATTTAGAAGAAGGGATTTGATTTTACTTTGTGGAGGTTACGTGTAGCTACCCATTACAGAGGTTATGCATTCATGGTAGTGTGTTAGATGAAGGAAAGGAGCTGATATTTATTTGCAGCCTGCTCTGGACCGGGCACTTTGCTCAGGTGTTTTACATTTATTGTGTCGTTTAATTTTCCCAGTGATGCTCAGGTGCTTTACATACGCTGTCCTTTACTCTTCCCAGTAACAACAGGGCAATTGTTATACAAATTGTAATACTTCAGAGAGATGACTTAAACCTCACACAGGTGGTTAGCAGTACAATTGAGATTCAAACTCAGGTCTCCTGACCTGAATGCTGGCCCTTTCTGCTACATACACTGTAAGATTTCAAAATGTTGTGGACTGTTGGCTTTGAAAGGCAAAATAAGTGATTTGCTAAAGATTCACTTTTGTGTGTTGATGAGAAGTTTGATTTACTTTTTAAGGGAAAGTTTTCTCTGGGGAATTAACTTAGCCAGCTTTAAGGTAGAGGCAGAAGATCTTAGTTTGTGTACAATCACCTGCTTTTCTTTACCAATTCTGTGTTGTTCTCCAGTGCCAAAAGATGACCTCTAGCTGTGGTCTCAGGATATTGGCCTATTAAGTTAGTGGTGCATTCACCTACTATATGAATTCAAGTGCCATCAGCATAGTGCTTTATGTATCTCTATTGGAAATGATCACTTATGATATATTAAAGAAAGAAGGGTAACAGTGGGGAATATGCAATGTTGAGTTTAAGAGCATGGATTTTGGAGTAGTTTAAATTGTAGCTCCATTGTTCTTTGGGCAAGTTATTTCATCTGTGTGAGGCTCAGTTTTCCTTTAGGTAAAGAGAGAATACAAATTGTAATTTATGGTGGTGGAATTTGTACTTTGAGTAAGGCTCAGGCTCCCATTTCCTATATGCAGAATGAGAACATTTATTCAGTGCTTATTGTGTTCTGTATATATGGTGGTGACTATTAGGATATAGGGAAGAGAGACACAGCCCCCAGCCCAAACATAGTGCCTAGTGCAGAGGGTAATATTAGAGAGTAAACCAGCAAGGTATATTAAATACTAAGTTGGGAATATGAATAGATTGCTGTGCTGCACGAGGGGAGTGGGGTGGTGGCAGTGGGAAGGTTGTTAAGGAAGGCTTCTAGGGAGATGTCATGTTAGTTGCCAGCTGTAACTAGAAGGACAAGTATTATGGGTGGAGGGAATACCACATGCAAAGATGAAGAGACTGAGATGATATTCTCATTTAGGGGACTGCATATAGTGGGTAAGATGGGAGCTGGGGGTACAGAACCGTGAGCAGTGAGGAACACACTGAAGAGGTTGGCAGGGGCTGCCACAACCAGAAGGGCTTGATGTGTCTTGAAGAAGAGTTGACTTTATCTGGGAGGCAGAGGGAAGCTGTTCAACCCTAACTGAATTTTAGGGAGATTGCCCTAGCAGGGGAGTGGAAGATGAAGTGGAAGCTGGTAGGACCAGAAAGATCCTAAGTGAGAAACAATGCCGGTCTACACTAAGGCAGATGGATAAGAGGAGTCTAGGAGGTGAGAAAGGAAGCACCCAGAAATAGCTTTCATTGTTTAAGTTGGGTGCCTGGGTATGTTGCATGAATATGGGAAGAGATAAGCTTTGAGATGGATGGGTAAGATAAGTTTAATTTTAGAAAGGGCTTCTTCTGTAAAATGGGTTGTGATAAAAGTATCAATCTCATAGGATTATTACGAGGATTAAATGAGTTGATGGATGAATTTAGAATGGTATTTTGCATCGTGTAAGGCTATATGTTAGTCACTGAAAACAACAATAATATGATTATGGTTGTCATTGTTAAGTAGAGGTGTCTGAAGGATGCTGAATGGGGAGGTGTAGAAAGAGTCACGTATATGGGAAACTCAGGAAAGAGTGTTGGCTTGGACATGTGGATTTGGGATGCACCAGTGTATAGGTGGCAATTGAAATGGTGGACAAGATCATGTAGGGAGAGTACTTGGTGAGGAAAGGGAACAAGGCCAAGTTTAGGCCCTCGTGAAGACTAGCATTTAAAGGTGCAGAAGAATAGGACCTAGAGAAGAAATAACCAGACAGGTGGAAGGAAAACCAGGAAAGAGCTCTGTCAGGGGAACCGAGGAAGGATGGATTGTCAGCGTCAGCTACTGTAGAGAAAGCCTCTGGGGAAGGACTGAAAACTAGAGCTTGCCTAACTAGCGGCACTGGTGGTCGGAAAACTGGGTTCTCACTAAAGGGTACAAAGGCAGATCATGGTGAATTGAAGAGTAAACTGTGAAGAGTTTTAATTGCCTCCTTGTAAAAATGAAAATTAAATCCTTATCTGGCCTATCCACTTAAACAGAAATGGTTTCTTTCACATAGCTAACACCACAAGGAAATGGTAGGGGAAGGTGCGACCTGGACTAAAATCTTAACTGCTTTTCCACAGGGTTCTGCTTCAAAACCTGCAAGCACCTCGGGTAGGAATATATCCAAGCCTGACTCCTGCAGTTTGAGGAAAACACCTGGTTCAAAAGCCAAAGTGGGTCCTTCTGTCTGCTGTTTGAGGCAGAACAGCGACAGCAGAAGTCTCAATTCTGATCGAACCTTATCTCCTCAGAGGATCAGGCGTGTGTCCGCTTCTGGTAAGAATGTGATAATTCAACTGTGCTTACAGCAGCTTATGAATTATTTAAATATAAAATTAGGCTTGTAAGAAAGCAGAAAGACAGATTTGGTTATAGGACTAACACATTCTGTCACTAAGGAATTAGCCTTTTGTGGACCAGCAGAAGAGATGACGATGATACTGCCCTTATATTTGAGCATGCAAAGGCTAGTTGGGGAGAGAGAAATGTGCATAACCAACTCACAAACTATTCAGAAGGACGCAGACATACATATACAATTGGGTAGCTATTGTAAATATAAATCATTCCATTTAAAATTTTTTTTACAAATGGTTAAGTGCTTAACAATACTGAAGCGTTGTACCGTTGATTCATAATGTGCCTTCACTACATGTGAAGAGATTAGTTTTTTTCTTTGAATTTTACTGAAAGATGTATTGTAAATTTACAGGGATTTGAGAGTGACTAAAGAGTTAAACTTTCCTAATATGAATATTTATTTATGTTGGCTTATATTTTAGAAGTTGTAGTTTTTATTTTTATTTTTATTTATTTAAAAGATGACTGGTAAAGGGATCTTAACCCTTGACTTGGTGTTGTCAGCACCACACTCTCCAAAGTGAGCACTAAAGAGTTAAACTTTCCTAATATGAATATTTATTTATGTTGGCTTATATTTTAGAGGTTGTAGTTTTTATTTTTATTTTTATTTATTTAAAAGATGACTGGTAAAGGGATCTTAACCCTTGACTTGGTGTTGTCAGCACCACACTCTCCAAAGTGAGCCACGGGCCAGCCCCGAAGTTGTAGTTTATAAAGTCATGTTAGGCTGATGAAATTTGGGAGTTCAAGAGGAGCTGTTAAGTTTCTTACTAAATTTGGCAGGCATACAGATTCTGTGTATGTGTACAAATCAGAACAGGAAATGGAAAAAATCTCACAGAGGCTAAGATGAAAATCCTGCTAGCCATTCCAACTGAGAATACTCTGCAGGGAACATCTCTTATTTCTGCAGGTACAACCTTGAGCAAATACATGTTGGATAGGCTTAGAAGTTCCCTTATAAAAATAGTGACTGCTGTTGAAAGGTCTGAGAAAAAATTGCCTGTCCATACATGTGAGAACATTTCACAGAAAGTAACAAAATCAACCAGCTCCCAGATGATCTCTTTACCTCTACAATTTAGTACTTTTAGGTTTTATTTTCCAGCCCTATTATGAAGCCTCTAGTGTGAGAAGTCTACAAGGCACAGAAGTGTTTTAGGGGTTGTTTATTAGATTCAGGCCCAGTGTCAAGGTCATGTGGTTTTGGGGAACAGACCCAGGAAGAGATGCAGCACATTTCTGTTTCCATCCCCAGAGGACCTGAGTGGGAAAGAGGAATTCATCAGCTTGGAGTGTTCATCATTTGGGAGAGAAACAGAAGAGAACCTAAAAGTCATTGGGAGAAGCAGTGATCCTTATTTGGGACATTGCTACAGCTGGGGAGTCAAGGCATGAGTGAGAACAAAGCTCTGGTCCTTCCTGTTGCTGCCTGATAAAGCTCATGCCGTTTGCCAGAGGATGGTAGCTCCGGTGCTGCTGGGATGTTAGGAGCACCTGTAGCCTGGGGGCATGTGGAACATAGCCACTGGGCCTTCAGTTAGGAGCCCTGTGTTCTCATAGCACTCTGGCACCAATGAGCTGCCTGAGCAAGTTGTTTACCTTCCCTGGGCTGCAGCCTTCACAGCTGTAAAGTGTAAGGGTTTGAGAATCTCAGGCCCTGTTAGCTTTTGCAGTCCTTATCTTTCTCGGGACAATTTGGAGCTCCCCTGATTTTCTGCATAGTGGCTACTACTGGTATGGTCTCTGGGCCACATGATGCTTGAATCCCAGAAAACCTAAGTGCACATAGTTTTAAGAAATTAGAGGGCCAGCCAGTTAGCTCAGTTGGTTAGAGCGTGATGTTGTAACACTAAGGTCAAGGGTTCAGATCCCTGTACTGACACCCCCCCCCCCCAAAGAAAAGAAATTAGGCCAGTACCCAGGGTACATTAAAAAAGATGGAATTCTTTTATGTAAGTGATCAGTCCCACCAAAAAAGGAACATTTCTTAGATCCTTTTACTGTGTGCTACATAATGTCATGCCTTAAATAGAGACAAGTAGACCTGTTTAGTCTTGAAGAAAAGACAGGGAAAGGTATTACTGAGCTTTTATTATCCTGTGTCAGTGAGCTTGATAACTAAGTTATGCAGTCAGATTTTTTTCAGTCTGAGTTAAAAACTAAATTATATTTTACCTAATGGTTTTCTATATATGAATGAGAAAAAAAATTCAGTGTAACCAGAAACATTAGGGATTTGAATTTGAGTTTTATATTTGAACAGATAGACTTTTACGAACTGAATGTTTATGCGCTGCTCCCCGCTCCCCCTTCATATGTTGAAGCCCTAATTCCCTATGTGACTATTTTTGGAAATACAGCCTGTGAGGAGGTCATAGAGGTTAAATGAATCATGAGGGTGGGACTCTAATATGATAGGACTGGTGCCCTTAGAAGAGTAGGAGATACCAGAGCTCTCTCTTCGCCATATGAGACACAGTGAGAAGGTGGCTGGCCATCTACAAGCCAGGAAGAGAGCCCTCACGAGGAAGCAAATTGGCTGGCACCTTGATCTTGGACTTTCCAGCCTCCAGAACTGTGAGAAAATCAATTTCTCTTGTTTAAGCCACCCAGTCTGTGATATTTATTGTGTCAGCCTGAGCAGACTAAAGCAGAAGACTGTCGGGCCTCCCTGAGCCAGAGGCCGACAAAACCGAGCGGGAAGAGACCCCGGTCCAGCCGGGGGTCCCTTGTGGGGCTGAGCGGGATGATGAGTGTCACTGGCACGGCCCTTCCCCCCCAGGATCTTCCTCCCCGGGGGCCGAGAAAGAACACCATCCGCCTTGGCCGTACAGCAGCAATAAGAAGGGCTTAAAAGGATAGGGTGAGGTGGTGGGGAGGCTTTACGTGAATACGGAACTAAAGTTGCTGAATCACTGGGACCCGGAAGGGCGAGGCTGGCAGCTACGTGTCTTTGAGCGCTAGTGAAATGGTGGCCGCGGGGCGCATGAAATGTCGCCCATGGGCGTCAGGGCGCATGCGTGCAAAGTTATGCCCAACATCTCCCCCTTTTGTTTTTGTATGCCGGGGTGTGACCTCTGTCTTAGGTTGTCCAGGTTTGTCTGGATCTTACCCGTCATTGAGCATCACACAGCTTGTGATAATTTTTTGGGTGTGGCCCCTGTCTTAGGTTGCCCTGGGTTTGCCAGGGTCTTACCCGTCTTTGGGAGCTCACACAGCCTGATGGGGAGACTTAGTCGTAACTTTGGGGATCTTGAGGGGCCAAGCGCTGATAATGAACTTGTACATTCATAAGTTGAATGGTTTCAAGCCTCTTTTGTACAAACTGAATAAGTTTGTTAAGAATACAGGGTCCCAGAGTGACTACCATTAGAAGTAAAAGGAGGGGACCGAGGAAGGGTAAGAGATAGGGGAGGAAGCCCATTGAAGCCCGTCCAAAAGAAGCTATTTTGGAGATCTTGTTGTCTTTTTTCCAAGTCTTCTTGAAGTTTCTTGATTTTGTCTTGGACGATGCCCGAGCGATTTGCGTAGAAGCAGCATTCTTCCTGTAAAAATAAAGCACAAGCCTCCTTTTTCGGCAGTTAGTATGTCTAACCCTCTTCTATTTTGCAGTACTACCCCTGCTAAGGAGTCTAACTGGGACTTAAGACCTAAAATAATATTGGCGATTGTTTGCATATCACTGATTAATTGTTGGGATAATTTGTTATAATAATGAGA